ACAACAGTTACAACTTGCCTTGGTGCATAAAAAAAAAAAAAAAAATGAATGCTTTTATCAACGATGGTACAATTTAATGAAAAATGTCTGTGTTGAAAAGTGAGATTTAAAATATTTCGGAAAAAAAAAAAATAAAAAAAAAATAGTCTCGCGCATGTAACGTGAAAACTGCCGCGACTGATTCACCATAATATAGATACTCGGTTCCATTCATTAGCGCAGCAGCTCTCCGCGTTAGCGCGATATTTATTTGTATACAATTCTTAGAATGTTTCTCTCGGCGTTGCAACCATCGGCGTAAGGACACTCCGTACGATAGTCGAGAGTACTTGGTAAGGTCTGTTTTTCTCCTCTCCATTGCTCTCCGCATGAAACCGGTTTCCCTTGGCGAACCTTACACATAAACACATAATAAATATATATATATATATATATACACTTTCCTCAACAGTACAGGCTATCTTGTGCTGCACGTAATTTACACATAAACACATAATAAATATATATATATATATAAAGATAACAATTAATTACACTCATGTATTATATTATGGTTTCCATTGTGCGTGTAAAGCTGTTATTATCCATGGGCACATCGGATGACTTTTACTGTGTCAAGTTTATATGGATACGTGGGTACAAAGTGCCTGTACTTACAAGTGTCGTGTACCGATGGTTAAAAGTCATATATATATATATATATATGCCAAGCGCTAGCTCCTCCACTGTATATTATATCGTGGTCGTCCCCGTACAGGTACATTATATTTATGTGCATCGGAAAATGATTACATGCGATTATGGGGGCATGTGTATATGCAATATGTGTATCGAGTAGGAGAAATGATGATACGGGGAATGGCGAATAAGTAAGTATATATAGGGACTTTACGGCGAAAGGATGCGCCAAAGGTGGACACCTCGTGTGTGTACAACAGGGACGAAGGAAGGAAAGTTGTTCGGAGAAATTGTTATCGTGCATATGGTGCATACTGTAATATATTATTATATCTGCGAATAGCACATGCTCGCGACGATAGACGCGTTTGATGATTTCCTGAGTATTAGGTTCAAGGTCGCTTTTGCGTCACTCTTTTTCCTCTCTTCCTTTGCTTTGTACATCATGTACGGAAAAAAAAAAAAAAAAACTGCGCGTGCTGCTGCAATCGTATCAGTGATTGCGTTTTGATACAACGTGCACTCAATCTCTCTTTTTTTTTTTTTTTTTTTTTTTTTTCCCGGGGATCAATCCAAGTTCGCGAACGACATGTACGTACTTCAGA